TCCGTCTGTTGAAGGAGCTGGGGGCCCCTGTGGAGTACATAGTGCTGCCCACGTTCGCCTACGAGCACAAGGTCTTCGTGGGCCCCTTCAGCCGCAGATTCCCGGAGGCCAAGGTGGGAGCAGGCTGCGGCCCCTTGCAACCTGAAAGCTGCAACCTCGCGCCGCGTTGCAGCGCAACTCGTTTCGCACCGCTTTCTGTATCTCACGCTGCAGGGGTTTAGGGGGATGCGCAACGTGTGCGTGTGCGCATGTTATTTTTGACCGCGTGTCCATCAAGGCCGGGGCGTCCGTCGGTCGCACAGCGAGGCCGAGACTGTGTGACTCTAGCGATGCCCGGGGGGGGGGGGAGGGGGGCGCAAGCCCTGGGCAGGCAGTGGCCCTGCCACTCCGCCCCACGTGGCCCCGCGCTCCTGCTTGCAGGCCGCGCTTCTCAGCCGTAAGACCCTCCCGCGCGCCCCGCCCGCCCGGCCGCCGGGCCCCCTGGCCATGCCCCCTGCAGGTGTACACGGCGCCGTTCCAGTGGTCGTTCCCCCTCAACCTGCCGCTTCCCTTTTTCGGGATTTTTCCAGCGGGGGAGATTGGCGCTGACGAGGAGATGCCGTGGAGTGATGAGATTGACCACCGGCTGTTCCTGCCACCCAGCATAGGTGGGTTGGCGGGTGTGCATGGATGGGTGGGTAGCTGGATGGTTGGGTGGGTGGTTAGCTGGATGGTTGGAAGGGTGGGTGGATTGGTGGGCCAAAGTGCCAATCCGCCGCCACGGGCCGTGAGTTGGATGCAGCACGGGGCGCAGCCGCTGCTGCGCGCTGCTGCCGGCTTGAGGGGCCGCTGGGCGGGGCTTGCGAGGGCAAGCGCGGCGCGTCGTCCACTGTCATTGCCTTGGATCACCTCCCCTTATCTCTTTGTGTAGCGCTGTGCGCCTGCTTCATTCAACCCAGCGAACAGCCGGGTTGAACCCCACATGTCTCCTCCACCTGATGAAGCCACCCTGCCGCTGCCACCCACCAACAACACACCGCCAGGCGTGGGCGACTACGTGCGCTTCAGCGAGGTTGCCTTCTTCCACAAGGCGTCCAAGACGCTCATGGTGACCGACGCCGTCGTGTTCGTGCCCGATGACGCGCCCGAGGTCATCAGCAATCGGGCGCTGCTGTACAACGCGCAGGACGGGCTGCTGCAGCGGGCCATCGCCGGCGGCAAGACGCGGGCGGAGGTGCGCGGCGTGTCCCTGATCTGTGCGGCTGCCTGCGGCCGTGGTACGCCTGCTGCGTGCCGGGGCGGGCTCTCGCGCCGGCTTTCCGCCGCGATGCCCGTATGGTTTGCTTGCCGCGCTGGTCCATCAAGTGGCGGGTTGGACATCGTGCCCACCTTCCAAGCCCCTGTCCTGCTTGCGAGGCTCAGCGCGCGTGGGGTTGTGCTACTGTTTGTTGACAAAACACCCCCTGGCCGACCGCTATAACTGCCGCCAGGTGGCGGCGATCGCAAAGGATGGTTACCCGGAGGATACCCTCGAGAACCGGCGGCTGGGGTGGCAGCGCATGTGCCTGCTGGTGCTGTACTTCAACCCCTCGGGTGGGTGTTGCGGTTCTGTGCTCCGCGGGCCTGCCTCGGGCGGCCCCAGAAAACGGCCAGCCGTGTCGGGTGCAGCTCCTGCTGGTATCTTTGATTCTATGCGGCAGGGGTAGTTGGCGCGAACGGGGTTGGCCCATCAGCTGCCACTGAGCAGCTTTGGCCGGCTGTCACGCGTAACCAGCAATCGGCACTCGGAAGGTTTGGGAAAGGGCGACTGGCAGGCAGCATATCAAGTCGGGATTTGGTGACCTGGGGCACCCCCCGGGGTTCACCCTCGGCTTGCCCCAATCTGTCAGACCCACACCATGCACACAGGACCCCACCTGCTGCCTCCGGCCTGCAGCACGGCGCGCCCGCCTCCTCACCCCCCCCCTTTTGTGCGCCCTGCCCATGCGCAGACCTGCTGACCCCTCAGGAGTCGTTCGAAGCCATCAGCAACCGCCTGCTGGTGGGGCCCGTGGTGCAGACCCTCGTATACTCCAAGGTGGGTGGTATGTTCTGATCTGATCTGATCTGATCTGATGTGATCGAATGTAATCTGATTTGACCCGAAGGCAGCGAGCCTGATGCTGAATTGCCCCTGTCTCGTGTGCCCTTGCACCCCCCAACGACGATTCAGCTTTTCACCGCCACGTGTTGAACGCCAACGCTTGCAGGTGCCCCGCACCGTGTGCGACTGGGTTGACTCAATCTGCGACAGCTGGCAGTTCAACAAGGTCATCCCCTGCCACATGGCCGCGCCCGTCAGGTGGGGTTATGCTCCCCCTCCTCCCCCCCTAAACGTGTCATTGCACACCGCATCACCCACCCGATGACCCCGAGCACGTGGCGCGCAGACGCATGGGCTCTCTGTGGTTTGGGGCCGCCTGCACACCCCAACGCACTGCGTGATTGACATATCTGACGGCAGCATGGTGGTTGGCTCCTTGAGGCTCGCATGTCGTCCATGATTTTGATGCATTCTGCAAAACAAACCGTAAGAAGCTCCCGCCCTCCTCTCCCTGCAGGGCCGGCCCCGCCGAGTTCCGCGCCGCCTTCGACTTCGCCTACGAGGCCGCCGGCCGCGCCCCCGCCGCCGCCGCGCCCGCCGCGCCGGCCGGCCTGCTGGGAGGCCTCTTCGGCGGCCTGTTCGGCGGCGGCGGCGCCGCCGCCGCGGCTGCCAAGAAGCAGCCCCTGGAGGCCGACCTGCGGGTCCTCAAAAATTTGGATGACACCCTTGTCAAACTCGGGGCAGTCTACACTGATGCAGAGACCCGGTAGCGGCCGCAGAGCGCTGACATCACCTGGCCGGGCCGCTGGTTTGGCCCGCGGCTCGGGTCGGGTTTGTCGTGGGGTTGCTGCAGAGCCTGGGGGCCTGAGCCTTGCAGTCGGGGACCTCCGGCTGCATTTTGCTGGGATGTCTTCACTGCAATCTGCCTCAATTTTGTGTCTAGCACCTACAGCCCTTGCCGCCCAACGCGGTCGTTGCCGCCGCACCTGTGCTGGTCCTCCCTCCTGATTTCCTGGGGCGCCCACTCCCTGCTGGCGGGGCGCGTGAGGTGTCCTGGCCTGATGTGTTGCTCCAAACGCGCTTTTTGTTTGCCCTCCGGCCATGGCTCGAGGCCGGCCGCCTGCCACCTCGAAACGGGGATCGCGGCCTGCACCCCCGATGCCCTGCCGCGCACCGGCGCCGCATTGGCGCCGCACCGGCCAGTGCCGCTGCGCCAGCAGGCGCGCCTTGGTTTGGCGCAAGCCGCGCGTGCTGCTGCTCCCTAAATGTTAAAGCTGCAAGTCTGGGAGTCGCTGCACTTCCGCTGAGTTGGCAAAAACCAGGGGAACCTACCTCTTTCTGAGGACCCTTCAGCCGTGCAGGTTTGTGAGAGAGCGGTGCACGGCCGGCCCAAGGGAGCACCCCCTGCCCCGGTTGAGCGACGAGGTGCAGTGAGGCTATGGTATGTGCTGATGTATGTTGTGCCCTGTGTAACACAGCCGTGTGGACAACGATGCGGCCAAGCAACAGGACGTCTATGACACAGGCGACGGCGCCTTGTTCCCCTCTCACTCTCCACCAAGGACGCACAACGCAACCAACATCAACGGTTCGTCGTCAACGTGCGCAGCACAGACAGGCTGAACAACCCCAGTGGCGGCCGTTGAGCAGCTTGCTCGCCGGCTCAGGGCCACGGCGGCGTGCGGCCGGCCTTGATCGCGGCAGCAAACTGCTCGAACTTTGCTTTGAATCTGGGAAGGGGGTTTGAGTCGTCGTCATAGCCGTCCTGCTCGCAGTCCCACCTGGGTACGCGAGGAGGGGTGGGGGGATGATGAGGGTGGGTCAAAGGGTCACTTGCAGCGAGACCATGCCGCAGGGTTGAACATGGGCCGAAACCTTGAACAAGAAGGCTTGTGTGTTGGCCGTCGGGGTGTATTTCTATGAAACAGTGGATCGCAAGGGCAAGTAGGCTTGCAAACAAATGCCGAGCCGAAAGAGTCACGCCACTGACAGGTAACACGGGTGCAGAGCCTGGGGATGACCGGCTGCCTGTACGTGGCCCCCATAAATCGCGACGTGCTGCGTCGGCGAACCACGTGCGCGCTGTATGCACTCATCACGCCGCCAAGGCCCAGGTCGGAGCCGCCCAAAAGGCGGAGCCCTGATGGGCGGTCCCGCTCACCCGCAGCGCGCGCAGCGCGCGTCCCAGTCCTCCCCAAGCCACCAGGGGCAGCCGCAGCGCAGGCACGGCATTCGCGGCCACTGCGGGGGTGCAGCACGGGGGCGTTCAGATGGCTGGAAAGAGTGCCCTATTGAGGGGGAATGCATACTCAACGTGCGATGGAGTCACACGGCAGGCTGCAGTGCCCAGCACTTGATCAAAAGGCATGCACAAGTGTGACGCGGGTATAAGTCTGGTCCAATACTTGTACAAGACACAGCTCCTTCCCTTGTGCATCCTTCATGGTTTCGCCGCCGGCCCACTCACGTAAACAGCCGTTCCCTTGCCCGGACCCAGCCGCTTCTTCGCCCCTGCCTTGGCTGACTTGCCGGCTGGCGGGTCCCATATGCTGGCGTCGCTGCCGCCGCCGCCCTTGCCGCTGCCGGTGCCGCCATCACCCTGCTGGCTAGGCCCTGCCGCCGCCGCCGCCGCCGCCGGGGGGTTGCGCTGGGCAGCTGCCGGGGCGCCCGCAGCGCCGCTGCCGCTGGCACCCGCAGCCACTGCCGACTTGGCGGGCGCTGCGGCGGGCGCCGAGGCGGTCTTCGTCGCCGCCGCAGGCGGCGACGACAAGCTCAGCTTTTCGAGCTGCCTCGCCAGCTTCTTGGCAGCTGCCGCGCCCTCGACCGGCCCCGCGCCCGCGCCCCCAAACGCCGACGTCGACCAAACGACGCGGTTCCCCGCATAGACTTGGAACGCGGGCGGCCGCGTGGCGCCCTTCCCGAGCAGCGCGCCCGCCAGCACCCTATTCGGCTGCGACGCCGCTGCGTCGGCGAGCACGAACGCGGCGCCGCTGGCAGACGCCGCGGCCAGCTCCCTGAAAGCCGCCACCCAGTCCGCCTCCAACTCCTCCGGCGCCGGCGGCGCCGCCGCCTCGCTGCCGCTGTCCTCGTCCTCGTCTTCCTCAACCTCTGCCTCCGCCGCAAAGGCCTTGCCTGCCGCCGCAGCCGCGGCGGCCTCTGCAGCCGCGGCAGCCGCGGCTGCCTCTGTCGCGTCGCTGTCGATCCATAGCAGACACATCGGGGCGCCGGCAGCGGCCGCCAGCAGCGACTTCAGATCCGTCGCGCCGCGCTTCAGCAGCGACACGGCGCCGCCCCGCGCCGCGGGCCGCGGCGCCGCGGCCGGGGCCCTCTCGACAGGCGCGGGCTTCGCCGCCGGCGCGGCCGGCGCCGGCGGGGCGGCTGCCACGCGCGGGG